CGGGGGCCCCCGCCGCTCCGGTGCAACCCAGAGGTGGCCCAGTTGGCAGGGCAGCGACCCGGGTGTCGCCCCCTCCTCGGGGCTGTGGCGTGGGGAAACTGAGGCGTGGACCTGGACCTTGGGAATCTGTCTGCCTGGCAATCACGCCTAAGTCAGGTACAGCGCTGGCCTCATGCGGGACTTCCCTGGATGCAGACCTGACCCCTCCAGTCTGTCCCTCACACGACATCAGCTGCGTGAGGGACGAGCCTGGGCGTGTATCTCCCCTAATGAAAATTCTGGAGCCCCTGCATTATCTAGCCTCCGCCTCCAAACGCACGGACACCACCATGCCCCGGGCATCCCTGGGGCTCTTCTTACCTCGGGCGTTTTGAACTTACCTGCGTGCTGTGCCCTCTTCCCTGTTCATACCGTCTGTGCTCCGTGCATCGCCTTTTTCAGGGCTCGGATGAAAGGTCCTTCCCAGGGAAGGCCTCCCGCAGGGGCTGCTCCAGCATGGGGTGCAGCAGCTGGCCCAGAGGTGCAGTCTGGCCGGAGGGAGCGACAGCTGCCGTTGCAGAGCACCCGTGTCCTGCTGAGCCACGTTGGACCCTTAGGCAAAAGGGGAAATAGGCATCCTGTACACATTTTTTTTTTTTACTATTAAAGAAATACATCGTGCATTTATTTATCTTGATTACTGCATTTTATGCCACTCCCTTAAATTTTGCCCCTGAGGCAAGTGCCTCACTCTCCTCACCCTAGTCCTGGCCCTTATCACATGAGTCCTCGAACATTATTCCCTTAGGCTTGGAAGACCTCTGTCCCCTGCTCCTCAGCTCTGCTGCTGCCTTCCTCCCCTCCCTCTGTGGTGGTCTCTGGGAGCCCTGTTCTCCTCGCTGATGCTCAAGTCATGTGTAATTCAGTACCGGCTGTGAGAGGCACAGGAGAGAGCCAGCAGGGGCACGGAGACCTCAAACTTTGGCAAAAAGGGGCTGGAAGTGTACCACTATAAGGGGACTGCAAATAAGACATCCTCTATGACAAGGGGGTCTCCAAAGAACCCATAAAAAATTTAAAATATATATATATATACAGTTTTTTTGTTTTGTTAATCTCTCACCTGAGGATATTTTTTCCATTGCTTTTTCAAGAGAGTGGAAGGGAGAGAGAGAGAGAAACATCGATGTACACATCAATTGGTTGCCTCCTGCACGGGCCCCCCATCAAGGTTGGGGATCAAGCTTGCAATGGAGATACACGCCCTTGGCCAGAATTGAACCTGGGACCCTTCAGTCCTCAGGCGGACGTTCCAGCCACTCACTGAGCCAAACCAGCTAGGGCTGTAATTCCTTCCTTCCTTCCTTCCTTCCTTCCTTCCTTCCTTCCTTCCTTCCTTCCTTCCTTCCTTCCTTCCTTTCTTTTTTCTTATTATGTTTTTAATTTATCTTTATTGTTGAAAGTATTACAGGTGTTCCATTTTTCCCCCCTNCACCCCGCTTCCTCCCCCTCCCCAGGCCTTCACCCCATTATTGCCTGTGTCCATGGGTTATGCACATATGCATATAAAGTCTTTGGTTAATCTCTTCCTACCCCCCACCCCCCTTCCCTCTTCCCTCTGAGATAGGACAGTCTGTTGCATGAGTCACTGTCCCTGGGTCTAATCTGTCAGTTTCTTTTGTTCATTAGCTTCTTCTTAAAGAAGACCTTCAACATTTTATGTAATACTGGTTTGGTGGTGATGAACTCCTTTAGCTTTTTCTTGCATCCATATGACGGTCAGCTGATTTCTCAACGGAAACTTTGTAGGCCAGAAGGGAGTGGCAAGAAATAGTCAAAGTGATGAAAAACAAGGACCTACAACCAAGATTACTTTACCTAGCAAAGCCATCATTTAGAATTGAAGGTCAGATAGAGAGCTTCACAGGTGTAGTATCTTTTTAAAATTCCGTCTTGACCCAGTTTTGAGCCCTGGCTAGAGGCGGGTCGGTTCCTCTTCTTAGGCATCCAATTAAGTCTACTCCCACAACCACCTCTCTTATCAGGCTTTCAACTCCTGGCCATTACACACCTGCCCTAATCACTCCAGGGCCAGGTACCTGACAACCAGGGACAGCCCCTATGCCCTAGAGCCCACTGAAATTATTCAGACTAGCCAGTCAGACAGCTTGTCCTTCCTTGCCCTTTTCTTCCTGCAGAAACTACAGTTACCCTCTCTCCCTCTGCCTTATAACCCAGCCCAGTGTTTACCTTGAGTGGCCCTGCATGGCATGTGATGTTCTGTCCAGGGAACTGTGAGTGTAACAAAACTGTAAAACTGGTTTCTTTCTCTTGATCGGTGTCCAGCCTCATCATACCTTACCCAGGGAAATATGGTTAAAACAGTTTTGGAGAGTGGAGTATTGTGATTCAAAGAGATCCTCTTAGTGGAAAAACAGAGGAGAAGCTCTATACGTGCTGTTTCTCTCCTGGAACATGTTCCTTCTTCCTGTAAATGGAATTCTCAGGTTTGACTATTACACAGAACTGGACATTTTAATTCATGAAATGAGACTATTCATGGGATTAAAACAGCTGGAGGTCTTTCTGTTATCTGAAGAGAAACGGAAAACTAGTGGGACCAACCCCAGAAGTCACTCGAGGTTGGGGGAAAATGTGTTCCACAGAGCAAGCGTCAACGGACAGAGCTGGGGAGGGGAAAGAACACAGAGAGAAGAAACTTGCTTCTTTATTTCACTTTCTCTCTTTCAGTGTAACTGTTACACATATTATATCTCTCCATTCTATACCCCCTCCGGTTTGTCCTTGACCCTGGAAAACATGAGGCCAGGAAATTGATACAGCCTTCTAGACAATGAGATTCTTCCAGCTCTATTAGTTGGTTCACTTTAAGTTCTTTTTCACGTGAACTGTTGTTCGTAGTGGATGCTTACTATCTGTTTGTGCCTGTACCCTCCCCCCTTCCTTCCAGAAAGTCCTCTCCGTTTTGTATTGGGGAATGATTCTTCCCGAACACCAGTCTTAAAAATTGTCATTGTGTCACATGTTCTTACTACCTTGATGGGTTCCTCAGTAATCACTGGATGTAAGCTGAGCCAAAGTTTTCCCCTAGGATTTTTGAAGTTGAGAATAGGGAAAAGAGACTTCCACTTTCACCCATGAAGCACTAACTGCCCTGGGAATTCCCCCCATTGTAAACTAGAAAAACAAACAAACAAACAAAATACATCCGGCAACTGTTTCCAAGCGTTAGACAACAGGCAGCAGGGATTGTGATAACTATGAAAAGGGAAACGGATGATGTGAGTCCTACAGTTACCCCAGATTGCTGTCTCAAAGCGGTTTCCAGGTGTCACTGCAGGAGGCAAACCCAAACAGAGTCCAGCAGTCTCACAGAGTTCAGGACAAAGAGATCAGAGTTCAGGAAAACTGAAGCAGCTAGAGTTTGTAGAGCAGAGTATCAGAGAGGAGGGCCTAGAGAGAGCTCCAGAGAGCCAAAGAGGGAGCCCCTCAAGTCTTTAGCTGGATACTGTTCAGATCACACATGGAAATCCTAGGAGGCCAGGGAGAGAGCCACAGAGTACACCAAACATTTCTTGGAGCTCACACAGGGCTGGGGATATTTTGTTTTCACACCAGCCAAAATGGAGAGACCTCTTAAAATATGAAGCATTAGATAGAGTCCTCAAAAGTGGACTTAGTATTGGGGGAAAATTAGCTCTAGATTAAAAACTGGTCTGGGCCTGCCTTAACACAGCTTAAGAGCAAGACTCAAAAGGATCGAGTTTATCCCAAGTAATTTAACTGTGCTCCAGAAAGAAAAAAAACAACCAAAACAGTTCAACACTATTTAATGAAAAACAACAAAATCCAATTTTAATAAGGTAAAATTCACAATGTCCAACATGCAAACAAAAATTATCAGGCATGAAAAGAACATGACTCATAAGCAGGGGGGGAAAAATCAATCAATAGAAACAGACCAAGAAATGACAGAAATACTGGAGTTAGTAAACAAAGACCTTAAAATATATATTTGAACAGACATTTCACCAAAGAAAATATATACATGCAAAAAGAGACATGAAAATATGCTCAACATTATTAGGGAAATACAACTTGAAATCACAATGAGATAGCATTACACACCTATAAGAATGGCTAAAATTTAAAAGATTGGTCATACTCAGTTCTGACAAGGATGTGGGGCAACTAGAACTCTCATATGCTGCTGGAGGGAATATAAAATGGCACAACAGTTTTGGAAAAGTGGTTTGGCAGTTTCTTTTTAAAGTTAAACCTATATATATACATGACTTAGAAATTCCACTTTTTAGATATTCAGCTAAGAGAAATAAACACACACATCCATATAAAGACCTGTTCATAATAGCTTTATTGATAAATGCATAAAACTGGGTGGGGGAAATGTTCATCAACTGGTGAATGGATAAATAAATTGTGATACATCAGTGCCCCCTCATCCTGGGTTTTGTTTTCAATGGCTTCAGCTACCTGTAGTCAACCTCGGTCCAAAAATATTAAATGAAAAATTCCAGAAATAAATAATTCATAGTTTTAAATTATGTACCATCCTGAGTAGCATAATAAATCTCCAGCTGATCCACTTCACCCCATCAGGGACATGACTCATCCCTTTGTCCAGGACAGTCGGGCTGTGTACGCTCTCCACGTTGTGTTCTCTATTAGTAGCCATCTGAGTTATCAGATTTACCGTGTTGGTATCCCAGTACTTGGGTTCAAGTAACCCTAAGTTTACTTATTAACGACCCTAGAGTGCAAGAGCAACGATGCTGGCAGTTTAAATATGCCAAAGAGAAGCCATAAAGCATTTCCTTTAAGTGAAAAGGCATGTATGTATGTATCTTTGTATGTATAGGAAAAAACAAAGTATATGTAGGGTTCAGTTCTATTCATGCTTTCAGGCATCCACTGGGGGTCTTGGAGTGTATCCCCTGAGAATAAGGGGGCTACAGTATATCCATTCAATGGAATACTACACAGCAATAAAAAGGAACAAAATTGAATTGCAACAACATGGATGAATCTCAAAAGCATTATGCTAAGTGTAAGAAGCCAGATACAAAAGCCTCATGCTGTATAATTCCATTTACATGATAGTCTAACATAACAAAATGTTTTGCTCTACAAATTCTAGCTGTTTGTCTCCCTGAACTCTATCATAGTGATAGAAAGTACATCAGTGGTCCTCAGATGCAAGGTGTGGGAAAAGAGAAATGACTGCAAAATGGTAAGAGGGAAATTTTGGGTGATGGGAAAGTTCTATAGCCTGATTGTATAACCATATACATTTGTCAGAAGTCACAAAACTTTACACTTAAAATTGGTGAATTTTACTGTATGTACATTATACTTCAGTAAAGCTAATTTTAAAAATTAGAAAAAAAA